GACCTACTGACAAAGATCGTCAATTATCCACCTAATACACAGTTGAGCAGCGAAGAAAAGGATCTGATGTGGAAGTTTCGTTACTATCTACTGACAAACAAGCGAGCGCTGACCAAGTTTTTGCAGTGCGTCCATTGGAGTGTCACCAGTGAGGTGAACCAGGCAGAGGAGTTGCTGAACGAATGGTCTGCCATGGACGCTGAGGACGCTTTGGAATTGCTGTCGCCAAACTTCTCACATCCGTACGTACGAAAATATGCTGTCAGTAGGCTAAAAGAGGCTAGCGTCGACGATCTTTTACTGTACCTGCTGCAGCTAGTTCAAGCGTTAAAGTTCGAGCGATTTGGAGACATATGCTCAGGTGTCGATTCATCGTTCGTGCAGCAGTTGACGACGATGTCAACCGAAGTAGAGGAAGATGTCATGTCAAAGTCGTACTTTACAAAGCCCGATGTGTGCGATGCCGAGATCTCGTCTGAACAGAATCATGATTTGCTTGTAGAAGGAACAAAGGCGAACTCTGTCGATGACGTTACGAGAGCGGATTCCCCGCCGCTTTGTCACCTGGTCGGCAGCGGTAGTGGTAGCGGTGGTGGTGGCAGTGGCGGCACCGACCTTGCCACGTTCTTGATTGCAGGTGCGTGCAAGGACACGACGCTGGCCAACTATTTATATTGGTATTTGAAGGTGGAGTGTGACTGTTATTTCAGAAGCGAGGAGCGGCACAAGGACCATGGTCGTTCTGGTAACAACCTGTTTATCCAGGAAATGTATATGGTGATGCTCGAAAGACTGTCCAGAGCATTGGCTCGTGGTGACACCGATGCCAGACGCAGAAGACAGCTGCTCAGACGTCAGCAGCTGTTTGTTGATCGTCTGGTTAAAGTAAGTACACTTCCTGTTACCGTAGCTTGATAGTTGTGTTCTTGATAATCAGGACGTTAAGTAAATCAGATTTTATCTTATCAATCCATACACATAACCAGTTGTGTTGCAAGGGAATTTTTCTGGCAGAAAATATTTTACTCATAAGCAGTATATAAAAAATTTTATCAAGAAACTCAGAACAGTGCCTGTGATAAATTACTAAAAACGAATTTAATTAACACGGATTTGGTATCTCAGCGTAACGAACATGGGCTATCATCGGGGAGTAAAAATACAAGTGTGTAACTGCTTTAGGACAGTTGATTCTGGCACAATGGACGGAGGTTTTGCACTTTGTTGAAAATCCAATTAATTTTTCTCAAGCCGCGTGATTGTCCAACAGAAACTAGTCTAACGGGGCTTGGATAGCTGTTGTTTCTATTCTCTGATGATAGCCGATACCGATTCAATGGAAACTCAGATATTTGTTTGATTTTCTTTGTAGCTTATCATACTACTATATTTAAAATCAAAAATTGATACTGTAATTTTATTTATACATACTGTTTTCTTAATTTATTGTTCCAGGCGACAGATTCTTGCGGTTACGGCAAACTGTTTACTCGCCAACGCATTTAGACATTGCACACTGCCTTCTTCGTCACGTTAAGGTATGCACGTGAACCTGCAGATCTTCAGAGAAGCAGTTATGCAGGGATTGAATGAGATGATCCGCTGTTTCATTAGTCTTTGCAGCCGGGGCTGCTAATTCGGAAGAGCGTCAGACATGGAACTGATAAGTCTTTCGTTCGAGCCCAGGTCAGGTCACTCTCCGTTCTTCCGTGTGAAGTTGGTAAATGATTACCATTTTGTGGGAAGGAAACAGATGACGAGCTTAAATGCTGTGCTTATCACATAACTGTAAACTCTAACTTTAAAATAAGCTACTTCTGGCCGATGGCATAAAAACGGAGATCAGCACTGTATGATGAATTTCATAAAATGATGGAGTTACAATTGAATCCTAATCATATAAGTCTGAGGGTGACAGACGTGCCAGGGTTACATGCTTTCCTTTTTTCCCTACTAATCTTTCCAAATACATTGACAGATAGCATTCGAACATTCCCTGAAACTAAACGATCTAATTCATCCGTTACGCGTTCGTCTTTTGTTTGCCGAGCTGTGCAGCGATTGTTTATTTAATGGGCTGATGTTTGACCGATCAGTGTTGGCCAAGATGACATTCTTATGACTTAGTGAGCTTCAAGGATAGAAATCACCGGAAATGATGCTCTGTTCTTACTTTTCAATTCTCAAAGCTGTAAGATGTTCAGCAACCTTTTGATATGATATTCTTGTTTTTTGATGTAAACGTCACAGCCATTTCATCGGATCTTACGTATCACATTCAGCGTTTTCATCTTGAAGCATCCCGTTAATCTACGATCCAAAAGTTCTGTCCAATATGTGGTATGTTCGAAAAGTTTCACTGTCTAAGTATCATTTGACCTTTGTAGAAATTGTGATAATGAATGTCACAGCGGGTTTAGTTTCATATTCAGGTTTAATTTTAGCACTAAGTTTATGCTTTGATACATTCATTTCAGTAAATGCTTCATTGTGGCCAATTTTGCTTGAGTAATTTTCCATGTGCTTTGTTTCTGCCCATCGGTTCTAAACACCATATTGTTTGTAGTGTTAAATTTTAACTTAAAGGTAAAGGACTGAAAGTTTAGCATGCTTTCAGCGGGTACGTTTTAGCATGCTTATGTTTTCTGCATAGAGCAAAACCAATCAGTTTCAATTTATGAAACATTTTTTTCTTAACCTGTAATATTTGGTGTCTGTCTTCACTCTCAGTTGCAAAGGCGATTTTTCTTGTCTCATCATGGGCTTCCGTGAGATTTCTAAAGTCTCTGGGTAGTCCACAAATAGATTCATTTAACATCACATTAAGATTTTAACCATAAATCTTAGGTCACCAGAGTTTCCACTGGAGCATAGAAGTTTGGAAATTGTCAGTGTGTCAATCCGCAGGCTCCACCCTGGTCAGATATCACATGAAAATACCATTCTTCTTATGGTAGATCGAACGTTGAAGCAAAGGTTTGCGCTTCTGAGCACCACCTTTCGAGGGCTCATGCATCTCATTTACTAAACAGCTCTTAATGATATTATTGTCTTTGTCAATTCTCTGATAAACCATTTTATAAAATAGCGCCAAAATTTCAAGAAAATTACATTGAACCTGCTAAGGAAAAGGGAAGGAATAATTGCTGCCAGGTAACAATTGCGGTCAAGTCAAATTAGGCTAAATAATATTTCAGTTTTTTGATTTTGGGTCCATAGTTATATAGATAGGTGTTTCAATGATTCACGGTTCAAAGCAACAAACATGACAGATGGTACAACAGTTTATTGCCGACGCCTTTCGCTACATAGACCGTAGCATCATCAGAGCTAGGCTTATAGTCTGGGTGAGTTATCTGTTTCATTTATACCATCAGCTTAGTTAGTTCATAGTCAAGTTCTACAACATTGGCAACTAAACCTGAATATTCTTAACAGTTATTGAAGGCCATTCTTTTATTATCATACATTCAAACCTTAGAGTTCGAAATATCTTCTGACGTGTCCGTTTCATTCCGTCGAAGAGGGTAGGCTAGACTAATTTTTTTCATGACGCGTAATGTATGACTGTTTTGCGTGCTTCTTATAAAATACATTCGGTCCATGCTGTATTCATCAATTAATGATTTTCTCTGACATATCAACAATAAAAGGAGCTAGAACACGGTTAATAAATGGTGAATTTTCTGGTGATTGTTTATGAATGACTTCATTGAATCAGAGTTTGTTCTGATCCAAAATCTATTACCTGATAAAATAGTGAAAATTGTCGCATATTATATTCTTTTTGTGCCATCAGAAAGAGCTGTAACTGAAAATATCTATTTATCCTAAACGATAGCATTATTTTACCTGGATGCTGAATAACTGAAGCTGAAGGTTTTGTTTTTCCGAGACTTTCACGAGTTACTAAAATTAACTAGTTTTGGCAAACACAGATGTTTTACAGTTCATCATGTTTCACTTGACAGAAAAACCCATAGTTTGGTAACGAAATACGCGGTATTAGGTTCCAACTACTGGTAACTTCCGCCGCAATGTGGTTAGATTAATGAAATTGAATGATTTCTGAATTCCATAAGGAAGGATACTCAGCTGTGAGTTACTGATAAGATAGATTGCTCTGCTCTTGCCGTTATGACCTCTACCATTCGGAATACATTGGCGTCTAGATCTTTATGAGTTGCACATTTCAACTTTGTTGTTGTATAATCTAGATGGTCTTATGAAGCCAGGGAACCTAACTGAGCAATTGTAGATCATGCAGGCGGTGTACAAGGAAAGCGGGAATCGAAAGCGTAAGACAGAAGTGCTACAGACCCTGCTCGAAGAACATGAAGATTCTGTGAACTTTCTTGAACTCGCGGCGCTCCCTTTGCCTCTGGATCCCACTGTGAGACTGCAGTCTGTAGTGGCCAAGAAAGCGTCTCTGTTCAACAGTGCCTTGATGCCGTGCAAGCTTACGTTTAAGACCGTTGAAGGTCGCGATTACACGACGATTTTCAAGTACGGCGATGACCTGAGGTAGTTGAAGTTTGCTAAGTGCTTTCGTTATTTATCTAACAGTTTCTGTACAGACAAGATCAATTGGTTCTGCAGACGATCACTCTCATGGACAAGCTGCTGAGAAAGGAAAATCTCGATCTCAGACTGACACCGTACAAAGTACTGGCTACTAGTGTCAACCACGGCTTCGTCCAGTATGTCGACTCAGAGACACTGCGCGACGTCCTCCGTGACTGGACCTCAATTCAGGTATCGCAGCCGTTTTAAGTATTGTCAGCGATGTAATGCAATATCAGTTTTAGGAATACTTTCGCCATTACATGCCGTCGTCAAGCGGCCCTTTTGGCATCGAAGCAGACGTCGTAGACAATTACGTTAGAAGCTGTGCCGGCTACACGGTCATCTCCTATCTGTTAGGAATTGGTGACCGTCATTTGCACAACTTGTTGCTGTGCACCGATGGCCGCATATTTCATGTTGATTTCGGATATATTTTGGGTAACTAACTTTTCTTGTACTTTAAACTTTGAATTGTCTGAAGTTTCAATTTAATCACCTTTCTTCTTACTTCTTTCGTTGCAGACTGTATTTTAACATTTCCTTATAAATGGAAATGTAGATGGATGAAATAGGGAATATATCCGTCTAACGACCTCCCGTTATCACAGCTAAGATAACTGTGCTTTTCTTAGTTATCGATAATGAACCTCATAGTTCGATACGCATTGAATCTCTACTTAATGAATAGTTAATAAATTGCCATTTCAGTTGTTTTAGACACAAGGAAACAGACAGTTGGTAATCTTTACGCTTACGTTTCAGCGTACTACATTGGCCATCCTCTGGGAAAGCAGATGGTTGTGTGCGCTGTGGATGGCGCATGCAGTTTCGCTGTAGCGTCAACAGTTATGATAAAGAAAACTGCAATCTGTTTACTTGTGTCTAGAGCCATTAAGTGATACTTTGTGTAAGAAAGCGCAGATTTGCAGTGAATTTCAGAAATCATTTTAAGCAGTGGTTTTTATTTGGAAAATTTCCACATAAGCCTAATTTTAAACGTCCGCATTATGCCGTGATGTTGCAGCGCTTTCTTTTTGCTCCTATAAGCCTATGGGGATACGTACGATCTGACTTTAAAATATTTCAGCATAACGTATCTCGCTCGTTTTCATCGACATTGGTTGTTGTAAGAGTGGATGCTCTTTATATGTTGTACCAAAAGCGCTCAATCAGTTATCTAAAATAACTGATTGAGATGAAGATGAAGAACTATGCACTCCCTACCTAGATTTTAATTCACCCTAAAGCCATGCTTGCTTCATTTTATCCATTATGGTTGAAGTATAAAGAATCACCTCAGATTCAAGGCATATAGGCATTAAATAATATCAGTCTAATTCTGTAATTTTCGCTTTTTCTATCAAATGTTTTCATTTTGTTAATATGTCTACATTATTTCTTTTGGCCTTTTTTCTTTTGTGTTGAGTATTTCTGTTTTAGGTCGTGACCCCAAACCGTTGGCGCCTCCAATAAAATTAACCAAAGAAATGATCGAAGGACTTGGTGGCTTCAACAGCAACCAGTGGCAGGAATTTCGAACCTTAACCTACACCGCATTCCTTCATCTACGGCGCAATTCAAATCTGATTTTGAATCTTTTTGCATTGATGATAAATTCTACAATTCCCGATATCGTACTAGAACCTGATAAGGCTGTCAAAAAGTTACAGGTATTTTTAGATTTGTTCATTCATTCATAACCTTCAAATTGGCAGTATATATCATTACGTCAGAAACGTCATTTTTTAAACAATGAGATGCCTTTGCAAAATAGTTAGTCGTACTCTCATTTGGGACAATTTCTTATGGTGGTATGTCTCTCCGTACGTTTCCTGAGTTCGTTCAGCTCAGAACATTTGTTCTTTAACAGACATGACTTGGCTGTGCGATGTGACGTCGTCCGGTTGTCTCTGCTTCGCCCAAATCACCTTTATAATGGTGGTTTTCCTTCCTGACATGCTATCTCCGCGTCAGTCTTTGCAGGGCCTTTGGGAGACTGCCTTACAGTGCAGAAGTATGGCCGTAATTGTTTCCTGTCTCAATTTGCTGCTTATCTGATTTTCTGACATTACTGACCTTACTTTAGCTAACCTCGCAGTCAGTGTAGTTGCCATTGTAAATATTCGTAGGAAGAGTGGCGATGATCGATGAGAGGAAAAATGATTTGCTGAACATGCATGTTTGATTCGACTTTTGTACCCGGTGTTGCTCAACCTAAGCCTGAGTGCTGCGAGGTTCAGGCAAAAAATGTCCATTCCGTCAAGGGATCTAATATATCCCTTTCGCTCAAGCCGAAAGTGCAGAAATTTTTTTGAATAATTACCTGCTATCTAATAGCCCTGTACTCGTCGTTTATGGTTAACGAGAAAAGAAGAAAATTTTACAGAACTCCGTGATTTCAAACAGTCTTCTGGTACACGATGAGGCTCAAATGCTGACAGTCTTTCAGTAGAGCCAAGGACAGAATATCCTGAACAGAACTGCGTGACGCAATCTCGGATGATCTTTACCTCTATCAGTAGCAATACGGAAACGGTTATGCATGTAGTGCGGTTTACTACACGCTACAGTTTGCCACATTGCTCAGCCAATACGTAAGGCAGGCATTCTGTACAGAAATAGCACTGCTTCATGAGTTGAAGACCTTTGCAACTTTGCTACTTGATTTGGATTTTGAGAAATTTTCGTTTTCTTCTTCCCCATGTCTCTCGTCATAACTGCTTATTTTTGATTGTCGTCTTTATATCGTTTATCCTGGGACAGCGTATTAGTCAGCATATGTTTCACTTTTTTAATATTACAACTACACTTATGCGACGCTTCCTGGACTTTATTTTCATGTCTACTTTTCATGTGTTGTATTACTATGTTTTAGGAACGTTTCCTACTGCATCTGTCTGACGAGGAAGCGGTTCAGTATATCCAACAGTTGATTGACGTTTCTATTTCCGCGAAGATGGCCGCCATCGCAGACATAATGCATGACGTTGCTCACTATCTCAGGAAATAAATGCGAATATCGTTACAAAATATTCGCAGCGCGATGTTTGCTCATTGGAGACCCCCAAAATGTTTTTCGATGCTGTCGTTTTCAGTGCCAGAATGCTAATGGAAAATTAGCTGACAGCCATTCATAACTGATCATTTGTTCCAGGATCAGTTTTTGTTTATCAGCGCACACTCGGGAATATCTGACGTGATTCAAGCATCATTACTAGAAGTAAAAACGGTCTACCAATACAGATATGCTTTTCTGGCAGGCAATTTTCCGTTCTGATTTCGTACGATTTTGTGATGTTTTGCCATGGTTGAAATGCAAATTTATTTTTTACGAATTTATTTTTGAAATTTTGTAGGCTAACCGGTCAAGGACATTCCTTAATGTAAGTTTTTATGTTTTTGGACTTATTATAGTACGGTGCCGCAATTCTGGTAAATCATTAGCAGTGATAACGTAAAACGCTTTATTGCTTTCGGCGTTTGGCCATTTAGGAACGTGTTTCTGGTTTCATATGGTCGTTAAGCGGTTGATACATAAATAAAGACGTGATTTTTTTTTCAAGAAAATAATTGCAAGGTGCATAGTAAAGCTACTTCTTTCCAAGGTCGATATCCTACTAAGCTTGCAGTCTTAGACTTCGAAATGCAGTTTTGGCTAGAACAGTATAATGCAGCTTTAAATGTTATGCCGAGGTTATCGCTTTGCGCACTTGGTAGATCCCAGCCGAAATGCGCACTACTTCTACGGATGCGACCAGAGAGACTAAGCCACTGAGTGTTTCCTTCTGCTGGGCGAATCGACTTGATGAGAGAGGCAGCAATAAGATGTACGGTCGGTACGGATAATGAGTATGAGTATGATAATAACACTATGATACAAGCAGGACGTTTTATATATGCAGTTACGTCTTCAGATCCAGAAAAAAGTTGTAGGCAGACTACAGTTGATTAGTACTACCGCTATAACGTGAAGAGTCTTGACGATCTCCAACATTGGTAAGGTCGCGACAAGTCCCTATAGATTGAAGACTACTGCTCTTCGAATGAGTTTTTTAGAACGGAACTTCGTGAAGTAGTGGGAAAAATGGTTAACATTCTGATTAACGTGGTAATCAAGAAGGTACATATTTGCTTAATGGATCTGAATAAGGTTTGGCTTTGGAAAAGTTTACGCAAAGGGTGTTAGAAAAGAGTTGCCTCAGAATAATTGACTCAGGTACGAAAAGTAATGTGACTTCAGAACAGGCCGAAGCATCTTCGATCAGATTTTCGCGCTACTAAACTGTTAAGAAATGAGAGTTTGTTCATCTGGTTTACATGTGCTTTGTCGACCTGGGGAAGGGATATGACTGATAACAACGCAACAAGTTATTGGTGTGTCTTTGGATGTGTAGAATCGATGGCCAGTTGCTAAGAACCATTCAGTAAATGACGTAAACACCTTTCAACGTTGACACTAGCCTTTGCTACGGCCGCGTTCTGTTTTCTCTCGAGTTTACGCTGTACATGGATAGGAATGTCAGGGAAAATCGATCATATCAGCGTAATAATGTGAAGATCTTATGTTTCTTCTCTGTCGACGACTTTGCTTTGTTAGTATCTTTCGAAACTGATCTTTTGCAAGGATTCGCAGCTGAGTGCAACGTGGTTTGCATGTTATGAACATATCTAACTCCAAAAGCCTGGCCCTGTCTCTTTTCCACTCGTTTCGCTCATCAGATAAACAGAAGCAGTGGATGTAAAGAAATTCATGTTCCTCGGGATCGAAGTTACCGGTGATGAAAATTAAAGAAAGAGACCGGTCAGCGAATTGAAATGGCTGTCCGCGAGATGCGTAGCGTAGCATAAACCGTTGTAATTTAGGCAGAGCTGTATCTGAAGAATAAACTCAGGGTATTCAAGTCGATCTTAATCTCTGCTTTCACCCGCGGTTATGAAATATGACTGAAAAACATTGATCCCGCCTAAAAGCAGCTGAGATCAGTTCGTTCAGACGAACTGCTTCACTTATGAGTCAGGAGTTCAGATATCAGAGAATGCTTTGATGTATAGCCGCTACTGCTGCAGGTAGAGGTGTCCCAGCTGTGATTGTTTAGGCACCGTCTTGCCAATGCTTCCATTAATAGAAGCGAAGCTGCTTCTAATTGCACAGCCGGCTGCCTTAGGGCACAAGGGACGGCCAAGGATCACCCGGGGCAAGTGGCTCTGCAGACTCTGCTGTAAATTCAAGTTATCTGCTGCAGATGCACAAACGGTGGCATAGGCTCAGGAACGGATGCTGTCTTCTATAGCAGTCTCCGCAACCCGAGAGGATACGCGGTTGTCATAACTGACTGAATCAT